ATTGTAACCAACGAAAGAGAATGGCTCAAGTGAACAAGAACATAAATTTCCCTACCACAGAAGCTGTTTAGAACAGCTTGATAAAATGCTTTGTTGGACGCGTTGGTTCATTCTGGAATAGATTTTCGCACAAATGGACATTATACTTGTGTGTTCTTGTGTGTTGTACGTTTGCGTTCAAATCAATTCCATCCAGAATAAACCTAACAGAGACAATTTATAGGCTGTACAGCTTAAGCGCGAGTGAAAACAGAAGTAAAAATGTTTAAATGAACAATAAAACAAAACTTAACGTTGGAAAAGCTACACATATATAGAATGAACAAAACTAAGCACACATACACGGATACGGAAAAGAAAGAGCATTTGTAAAGAATGCACGTCGCGAACGCACATTTACGTTGCACATCAAGAAGCAACGACGTGAAAGGAACGACTGAATAAACACAGACGAGAGATAATCCCCACAATCACGGCACTTTCTTTAAGGTTGAGCAGACACGCAAAACGAGTCGAGGAGGGCCGCATAGGGGTTCAAGAAGGCGATTAACGTCGTGAGAGCAAGCATGCATATAAGTGGCTGCAAGCAGCAACAGGCCTAATCCTCGCGGCTTGAATTCCGCGCTGCCTGGGCCGTGACGAATGTCCTCATTCTGTCAGTTGCTCTGTTCGACACCGCTTCTGGAGAGGCGCTGCCGTACTGCTGGACGCGCGTGCGCGTCCTTGAACTTCGATGGCTGAAGCTTCACGGTGCTTGAGAGTCAAACAGAAGACAAGAAAAAGTACCCCGTGGCGTTTGTAGAGGGATTAATAACGACACAGATTAATGCTGTCAGACAGAAGTGCAGTCTCGCTTTCGAGAAGATTTTGCTTTCGGCGCGACCGCAGTTCACCGCTGGGGCAAGAGGATATGGTCAAGCCGACGTTTACTTGTTTATTTTGTCGTGTTTGTGGCTGTTGGGCCACATAGACCTTCCCGAAGAGAGATACGAGGGCGTGAAGTATGCGTGACCACCCAAAACGTGCTTCTAAAAGAATCGGCTCCCGCCATTGCCCTCCTGTGCAGCAGTCCAGAAAGAAGATGCTGTTTCTCTCTCTGCCCCTCTCTGTCTGATCGAAAGGTTTGTATAAACATGTTGGGAAGAATAAACAAAGAGGAAAACACTATTTGTCTATACTAGAGCCCTATGAATAAGTGAACCTAACGAATGGTTATCGTATTGCGGTTAGTTCCAGTCCGTTCTGCTATTGCAGGCCACGCTGAGGGCACGTCCTTCCCGAAGGAGTGCGAGAGTGACAGACAAACGTTCATCTATACCGATGGTTCATATGTGTACTAACAAAGACGTTATTTGTTACGTACGTGCTGCCGAAACCTTCTCCCCACTATGGAAGAGAAGGTGTCTGTACAGGACAGTTGACAGAGCACAGTCCAAACGACGGAGTCAATTAATACCTGTAGAGAACCAATTACAATCGGCTACATCGTAGATCTGTTACAGTGGACTATAGAATCATCATCACCATCATCATCATCATCATGTGCCTGACTACGTTCAGTGCAGGACAAAGGCCTCTCCCATGTTCCGCCAGTTAACCAGGTCTATAAAATAATTATGCCGAATGTGCCGAAGACACCACGCGGTCAAGTGTAATGTCGAGCTTCTAGAGGATACAATAAAGGCAATGTTGTGTAAGGTTGTTGGCTCGCGCAGGTCAACTGCGAGACGTGGCGCCTACATCCTACCGTTCAATTCTTTCTATCCGGCCATCCAGGCCACAGCCCGGAATATAAAGCGAGAAAATAAGCAATCATGCACATAGCGAAAAGCACAAAGCACGCATTGCATGCAACACAGCCAGGTCTTAACGGTGATCCTGGTCAGCGCCTCCTCTATCTAGAGGAACCGTTGCCCCGCTGCGGTGTTTTAGTGGCTAAGGTGCTCGGCTGCTGACCCGCAGGTCGTGGGATCGAATCCCGGCTGCGGCAGCTGCATTTCCGACGGAGGCGGAAATGTTGTAGGCCCGTGTGCTCAGATTTGGGTGCACGTTAATGAACCCCAGATGGTCGAAATTTCCGGAGCCCTCCACTACGGCGTCTCTCATAATCATATGGCGGTTTTGGAACGTTAAACCCCACATATCAATCAGAGGAACCATTGCCCTGCGCTGCCTTGGGCCCACCGAGCCGAAGGATCTGTAGTAGGGGCCTGCTATTCCTCAGTTGTAGTGTGGACACTGATCCTTCTTCTATCCTTCTCTATATGTATTCAAACATTTTCGTCCACCGTTCTCTTTGCCACCGAAGAAGACGCCTTCCCTTAAAAGGTTGCCGAAATAGCATCATTTCTTCACTCCATTCGCAACGTCCTCCTCAGCCCGTATGACTAAAGCCTCAAGTCACCACTACTATAAATAACATTAACCAGTCACTCACTGACTTCGAATCGTAACAGAATGTGTAGAGTCGAGACCAGTTGAGAAAATTCAAAAGGGACAACGCAGCTCCTGGACATACACTGTGCTGCACGTGTATATGCATCTGTTAACGCCCTGAACAATGAATATAACCGCGTCAACCTTACTCAGTACCGCTGTGTCAAAAGCACCACGGCACCTGCTTGTATACGTATACATGCCTGAACGACTAATGCATTGTATCGCGAAGGCGCGTAGGATATATCCTTATACTAATTTGGCAAATGGGCATAGATGGCACATGAAGGGCGAATTTCTCCTTACACTCGTGACCATGAGGCCACATTTTTTTTACGTAACGTACGTTGGCTCCATCGGACAACAATTACTTCAAGAAAATACAAAATGGATAATAACACGAAATCAATGGCAACGTCCATGTTCACAAAACAAACTAAACAAGGTGTTGGAAACATATTCCAAAGCTGCGACGCCGAGAAAAGGTGTCTTTCGCCTGCTCCATCGGACATAACATGTAACAGCTTATTGATTGTTGATATTTTTTTCACTACTCCCCGCTAGCTCATTCGTATAGTGCCACTAAAGAAGATGTATCTGGTTCGACTCCCTAAATAGGTTTGGGCAGAAATCACGTGCGTGGTACGCATGCAAGAACGTTTGTGTGTCCAGAATTCTGCATGCGTCACGCAAATTCTGCTAAGCTGTAAATAATTCCTCCTCTCACTATGGCCTACCCACTGAATCGTCTTCCAGAGCAAGAGCGAGTGACGGTAACCTGTCAATATAATTATAAATCAGTAAATATAGTAAATTAAACGATAACACAATGAGGCTTTACAATACACAACATATTTTTAACGCTATAGTCATGTACAAACTCTCGGTTGTATTAGAACGTGACAACGTATGTCCACCTTTTGGCATTTATTGCAGATCTTTAGATTTGTCATTTTAATGCGGAGGAATGGAAAACTGAGCGTACGCTAAGCGCACTGATTGCGGAACGTCAGAACGCAAGCAAGGTTTGGAACGCTAAGCTGGTTAGCGCCTGTTACGATACGAGGTTACTTCTAAGACCTCTTGTTTATTGATACCTCAACTGTCCTAATCACCTCCTCCGACAGTAGCCTATGATTCTGTCCACGTAGACGACGAAAGTGTCTCTCGGTGATTTCAAACTTATTCTGTCCGGCACGAGCTATTCCATTTTATTCTTTTCGAACTCATTCGATCACTCCACCAAAATCCCTGCCGCCCTCGGCATAGCGTCTCCCATCCCTTGGTGTCCTTATAAAGTTGTTATAACTGAGCACAGGTTTATCCGTCCAACACATCACATGGGCGGTTCAGGTTAACTTATTTGTGTTTTCTTAATGACGACTAGAATATTGGGTAGGTAAGTTTGTTACGCAGTCCACTTCTATGTCTTCCTAACTTTCTCCCTCAGGTTTTCACTTTGTGCATTTCCCTATTTTCGTTCTACGCCTAAAACCTTTCCGCTGCCATCGCAACCTGCGTTATCCGTAACATCTCGAGTTTCCTTGTTACCCTACGATTTTCGCACCACACGTGAGTACTGTGGATTCTGAATAAAAGCCGAGCTCAAGAAAAAAAAGAAGTAAAGAAAGAAACAAGAACTTCCACATACTTCCATTGCAGTTACACGTTATAGGGCACAACATGTCGTCAAATTTTTTGCGCACCTCTGTGAAGGATATAGTGTTTTTTTTAGAACTCGCGTACTTGCTCTACTAGAGGCATAAGAGTGCGTTTAGATCAATCGAGGGCAATGGCGGGAAATACAGTCGTGTCCGCCCCGGTGGTACAGTCTATATAGTCACCATGCTCGGCTGCTGGCCCGAAATTCTCGGGTTCAAACCCTGCCGTGGCGGTCGCGTCTCGATGGAGGCGAAATTTCAGCGGACTGTATAATGTGCAAAGTCAGTGCCCGTTAAAGAACAGCAGATGGTTGAAATTTCTGGAGCCCCCTACTACGGCGACATTCTCGTCATTGGTTTTAGCGCGTAAAACCTCGAACTTGTGGCTATTGTTAAAACACAATATCGGCGATAGCTCGATAGCGAATTTGTACGAGAGTCCATACGACGCGGCCTTTCGAGAGTTTAGCACTCAATAAGCACAAATATCTTACCGAACAAGAGTTATGCACACCCAATTCTCACAAGGAAAACGCTACTCACGAATGTGCCTTGTAAGCTGCCATGCACTGCTTTGGTGCCTTGCGGTGAAGACGACCGCGTGATGCAAGTCCAACCAGCGGTTTGTCTCGGTCAAAGAGCGAAAAACACAATAAAACTGCGTCGACGTACGCGTGAAATTCAGGTCCGGAGAAGCCGAAACGTAGGCGCTAAAACACGGTTCATAGCCGCTTGCCCAGAAAGGACGAGGAAAAAAAATCTAATAAATACGACAGATGTGGTAAAGAGGATGGGATATATGATGCAGCATAAAGAACGACGGACGAAGAACTTGTCGCGACTGCTGTCTCGCGCGTCGCCGTCAGAATCGCACCGAAATCGTCGACAAAAAGATCGCCTTTCAAAGGAATCGAAGGAACCCCCCATCTACTCTTCCCTTCTCTACCACATCTCTTCTCCTCCTCCTCCCCCCACTGTCGTAAGAAAAGCTGGTCGTTCGTGAAACAATGTTTCAATCTACAACATCCTGTCCCGCGTGACCTCGTGACGTCACCCGCAGAGTCCCATTCTTTCCTTCTCGGTATAGTACGGGGCCCTCAGTCTCCAGTCAACCGCCATCCGCTTTTCAAAGTTGCCTTCTTTTTTACTTTCTTTTTTATCACTTCATTTTTACACACACACGCAGCTCCATTTTTTTCGTTCATCCGTACAGGCATTAAAAGCTAGGCTAGTTGGTGACAACACTTGAACAATTTTTGAAACAGTGCAACGACCACGCCGACGAAGAGGAAAGATTGATTGATTGACATGTGGGGTTTAACGTCCGAAAACCACCATATGATTATGAGAGACGCCGTAGTGGAGGGCTCCGGAAATTTCGACCACCTGGGGTTCTTTAACGTGCACCCAAGTCTGAGCACACGGGCCTACAACATTTCCGCCTCCATCGGAAAGGCAGCCGGGAATCGAACCCGCGACCTGCGAGTCAGCAGCCGAGTACCTTAGCCACTAGACCACCGCGGCGGGGCGACGAAGAGGAAAGGAGGACTCATTAAAGCGCTAGATTGAAATGAATGTTATACGGATGAATGTTGCACACCAATGTTTCAAAAACATTAATCTATAGTTGCAGCGCGGTAGATACTGTTGCCATGGCACGTATGGTGCGAGAAGGCTTGGAAACGTCGCAGCGCGTCTTGTCATGCCTCGCTGCCTTGTCGACGACACCTCATAAAAAGAAGTGTCTAGCGGGACTCCTTTCGAGGCGCCAGACCTTTACATGCTAAGTAAAGAAAAAAGAGTACATCGGCTCTTTTTTTTTTTTTTCTTGCGAGTTCTGGCTTGCCACCTATATGACTCCATTGGAAGAGACTCGTGAACAATCTTTGGATGATCCCCTACTGAAAATACTCTCGATGGAGAGTCGTCAGGCTCAAAAAAGAGTTAACTAAGCTCTTTAAGGATGTTCGTAGGTCAGGTACCAGGAGAATCAATCGAGAGAAAGGCAACGAGGTTAAAGGCATCCCTAAAAAGTCCATCCATCCATCCATCCTTCCGTCCTTCCGTCCCTCCATCCATCCATCCATCCATCCATCCATCCATCCATCCATCCATCCATCCATCCATCCATCCGTCCGTCCGTCCGTCCGTCCGTCCATCCATCCATCCATCCATCCATCGATCCATCCATCCATTCATCCATCCATCCACCCATCCATCCATCCATCCATCCGTCTGTCCGTCCGTCCGTCCGTCCGTCCGTCCGTCCGCCTGCCTGCCTGCCTGCCTGCCTGTCTGTCTGTCTGTCTGTCTGTCTGTCTGTCTGTCTGTCTGTCTGTCTGTCTGTCTGTCCGTCCGTCCGTCCGTCCGTCCGTCCGTCCGTCCGTCTGTCTGTCTGTCACACTAGCGTTACTTGCTGAGTCATCCATAAACTAGGCGGTCACGAACCGGTCACAGTAGAAGGACAGACCCAAGGCTTTAGGAGCATCACACCGGAAATTTCGAAGGGTGTCAGAACCACCTTAACTACCCTCTAGTTATGGCCCTATATACATCATCAGAATGATTGTTCACATTTGTCGCATAGAAGCCTTGATGTACCAGTGGCGTAGCCAATGGATGGCACATCGGGCCCTCCACCCTTCCCGAAAAAAAATTCTGTCTATGCCCCTGTGATGTACTGTGGGTACCTGTATACATGTGTGTGTGTGTGTGTGTGTGTGTGTGTGTGTGTGTGTGTGTGTGTGTGTGTGTGTGTGTGTGTGTGTGTGTGTGTGTGTGTGTGTGTGTGTGTGCTTTCATTTACGTTTTTTTGCCTGTGTGTATACACTGTCATCTAAAATTTCTGTGTGGTGTGTATTTGTCGGATAATCACACGAAGTGGCAACCCCGCATGGTTTTGGTTTATGTTTCAGCTTGTAATTGTAACAAAGCTACTTGCTTGACAGTTACTACCAGCAGTTACTGATAGGAAGTGAATGTTGCGACAAGCGCTTACTACTTCAAGGTTAGTACATGCTAAATACTTCTTTTTTAAGAGCGTAAAGTTTGTTGGAAGCTGTTAGACATATTGACCTCGGGTTACCTCTAAAATTATATATATAGACTCGATTTTCCAGACCATTCCTGAAGTGACAGACTGTCGCCATTTCCGGTGGGACTGCAAGGAAACGACCTAATTCTGCTCAAGATTGTACGAATCTGTCGCGTTTATTTATTTTTTTTTCAGAAGAAAATGAACGCAATGTCGACCACTGTTGTTATCAGTGTGATTATCGTTCGCAGGCAGCCCCCAAAACCACCGCTGAATCAATGCCACAACGGTGGTGATGTAACATTGAAACAGAACCCGCCCCCCCCCTCCTTTTTTTCTTTTAAAATGAGTCATGTTAGTGCGGGACGTTTTATCAGCCGAATCACCTCTCGGCCATCATTCCCGAAAGACGCGTGAGACATGCACAGTTCGGTGCATCGGACAGTTCAATAAACTCTCGCGTGCTCTGGGATTCAGCGGAAGCGCGCGCCCACGTCATTTCCGTTCGCGTAAGTCTGACCAAATCGTGAAATGGCGTTATTAGCGGAGGTTACTCCAAGGCTATGAACTCCATCCACAGCCTTCACCGTCTTACTCGCAGACCGTGTAGACGTTCCATCCAATCGCATTTGGTCATTTTTGTGACGTGAAAGACTTTGTGATTTGCGGTTAGCTGATCCTGTTATGCATACACATGTTCATTGCGCTGACTTTCTGCTTGAAATCTTTAACTTCCCGATAAACTTTATTGAAAATCGCAATATCTCTGCTCGGGGAAATGCGATATTTTGAACACAAACGAGGAATTTCTAGCTACAAATATGCGCAGTGTCTACATCAGCAGCGAAAAAGTGCTTACGCTTAAAACGGAAACCATTTAGCATGACTTCCTTCTCAGATTATTGACAGGAACACGACAGTTTTGGTGGGCAGGGCTTAAATTTATTCTTAGGTTGTCAACATCTATAGCGGTGAAATCATTCTCTAATGCGTAGCATGTTGGCTGAGGTTGGTGTTCAGGCTGGCTGTTATGTTCTGCGTACGACGGAACAACGAAAACATCGTCGTTGCGATTGATTGATTGATTGATTGATACCCCGTATGATTATGAAAGACGCCGTAGTGAAGGGCTCCGGAAATTTCGACCACCTGGGGTTCTTTAACGTGCGCCCAAATCTGAGCCCACGGGCCGACAGCATTTCCGCCTAACATCGTTGTTTCGTTCCCGCCCAACACTGGGCAACTCTTACTCGATTCCAGGCGCATTATAACGCCATCATGGAGTGACAACGAACCAGTTGTACATGTTATTTTATACAATGTTTTGGCAAGGGCGCTAGCTTTATTCAGACTGGTTAACGTAGATGCACACCTACCGAAATATTGATACAGTTTAATGACTATGACTTAGGATCGAGTGAGTCGACGATAATTGTCGCGGGAGAAGATACAACTCCAAATGTGCATAGTGGTTACAGTTGCCAGAAGTGACAACCTCTCTTGTGGTGATGACTGCTTATATCGAAATAACTCTGCTTTCAGAGGCCTTGCATGCACCGAAATGTGTGCGCTGGTTTTGTCAGAAGTACAAGCACAAGAAACGTACTAGTAGGTAAACAATTTTGAGTACAACGAATACTTTTCTTGGTGAAACAGAGGTTCAGGCTCAAGGAGAAGATAGTAGCTTGAAGTGGTCAGAAACCATCCGAATAAGGAGTTTGGCCAGAGCTAACGTTTCCGCGTAGGGACTCTCGTTTACGTCAGAGCAGCAGTGTTTCCGCCCTCACAAAGACGTGTCCTCTCGTCCCAACAGACTTCATAGCGAGTCCCCCCCCCCCCCCCCCTTTAACCCACTTTGAATACTTTCGCATTTAGATCGGGTTAAGAGAGTGGATAACAGGAGCACCGGCCTTTTGTTGCCTCTAACACTGTTTTACCACAATTTGCCCGAAACAGGAGGTCCCGATGTAGTCTTTGACATTGGGGCCTCCTTTTGTATACTAAACACATGTCACATTCTCGCATTTGTGTCAATAAAAACTCAATAAAAAATTTGCTTGTACGTTGTTAGTGGCACGAGCCGCACCGAGTGATGCTCGTTCCCTTCTAAACACTTCCTGTCAGCACGAACTACCAGCTTCCCGAATATATATAATGTGTCTTCTAAACATGAAAGTCACTGACTCCAGATCTCACGAGTTATATTGGATGCATATGGTATTGCAGCATAACTTGACTTAGAATAGAGGCCAATTAACTATCAGTATAATTAAAGAAGATTGAATGAATGACTTCATTGGAATACATTGGGACATTGCTGCACCTGACGGATCAGATCTCAACTACCCTCTTCGTTCTACATGGCCTCCGTGATTTTCATCGGGAGCACACAAAAAAAACGCAATCTTGACCCAAGGGATACGCAAAGGCACAAGGACACTAACGTTAGAGCGCCACTAAGGGAAGATCAGGGCCACCTCCAGAATTTTTTGAAAGATGTCGCTGTAACAGCTAGCACAAACCCATGAACTTTAACGCCGTGAAGACAAAAGATGCGGTGCTAAGTGTACTATGACTAAGAGCGCACATAGCCGTGCACAAAAGGAGAGGGGCAGATGGGCGGTCACCACGTTATTCACCAAAGAAGAGGGGGTGGAGGCGAAGTCTGCCCCATACACTGACCTTACAGGGAGGGGGGGGGGGGGCACTACAATAAACCTTCATCTCCCCTCCTGCCCTGAAGACGAACCCTGCGCTCACTCTTGCCGGCATCCACGGACTCATAGTCTTAGGCCTCGTCTACTTTGCACCGCACCTCTTGTCTTCAAGCGATGAACCAACTAGCTCAGAAACAGGCGTCCAATTTAGT